ACTGCTTCTTTTATCAGCTCCAATCTCTCATTCTCCAGGGAAAGCAGTACAGAAGTGTCTTGTCCTTTGATAGCAATAGATAACTAACCTCATTTTGTAAAAGCAGAACTAAACAGAGTTATTCTTTGTCTTCAGCAGGAGCAGTGAATCAGATCTCATTGCCTTGTACTGAACCCCTTTTAAGGCAATTTGATGCCTTACACATGATCATTGAGAAGCTTCTATTTGTACCTTCCCCCCCCTGCTCTTTACCTGGCATTTCTTTATGCAACAGGGGACCAGAAGGTTTTGTGTCTAAAAGAAATAGGACTGGTTATATTTCCTGAGGCTGTATTTTCAGGCCTTCTGCATCCGTACCCATCCATTACGTTCAGGTCAAATTTTTGTCTTTCTGTAGCAGCAAGGATTAAAGATGTAATTGCTTTTAAAGTAGACATTTTCACCTCTCCTTAGCCACATAACCCGGGGCTTTAGATTAACACCTCTCTGCCTCAGCCTTCATCTAGCCAGTGTTAACCAATTAAAAAAATATATTAGCCAACCACAACCTTATTTATCAAAACTCCTTTGCCTTGATTGTAGGCCACACTAGATATGTACTGACAGGTTAAATCAAAACCAAATGACAGAAATACTTCAGATTTAGCGAGGTATTTGATACAGTGCCATAAAGACTGTGATCTCTCTGCACCTCTGCTACTGAGTTGGTAGGCATTAGACAAACCAAGACAGCACTTTCATGTCCTGTGAGGACTCCTATGATCCAAAGGAAGAACATGAAGACTTGATGCAAATCACAGAAATCACCTGGTGTGATTTTGTTTAAATGATCTACATGACAGATATCAGTGTCTTTCTGCACAGTAGGTACGACAAATCAAAGTGACTTAGGACAAAATGCCTGTGTTATACTGACAGATGGAAAGTGAACAATCTGTACAAAATTACGTTTCTCTGGCAAAAATAAACTGAAATGGAGCACCATGAAAATTTAAATAAACAAAAGCTTCGGTATTATAATTCCCCATACCATTTTTATAATTAAATGAGAAGTACTTCACACTTTCATGCAACAATTAGATGACTGTGAAAAACCACAAGTTCACCTCTCCAGGCATTCACACCTGTGTTACTCCGGACCATTGACTTCAGTGGAACAATACCTGATTTAAAGTAAAGCAAGAAGAGAAACAGACCCGAAGAGTGCAAGTAAACCTGAGGTTTTTGATGAAACATAACTCTCAGCATGAGATGCAAAAGGTGACTTTCCTGACAAGTGTTACCCAAATTCTTAATAGCTTTCTGTATGTAACCTCATCTCATCTCATCCTGACATAATCTTAATTAGTCTTAGTTCTACTGCAGAGAAGCCTACTGAGGCAGTTAGCACCATATAATTAATCAGATACTTTGCACACATCACAGCAACCAACAGTGTCAACTTACTGATGTGAGTTAATACAAACAGAAATCAACCCTGCCTTTCCCTTTCACATGAACTAAACACATGAGGCATGGAATGAACACATGACTATTTCTTCTACACACTGCTTAAGTCCTTTCTTCCCTTAGCAGCCATTTCCTAATGCATCATTACTCTGCAAAGTACTTCTTCTGGTACTAGGAAAGAACATGGAATTTGGTATTTCTCTTAAATTTCTGTTTCTCCATAGAAGAATAAGTCCAGCAACTGAAATAAGCAATGATATAATTCTTGCTGGTGAAAATCATGAATCTCACACTTTATTTTTTTTCTGTGTGCTTTAGAAGGTTTTAAGAAACTGAATTTTACACCTGCACATAAATACATATTTGAGAGCACAATCTGCAACATTCAGTCATCTCATAGCAACGGAAAATAAAATATTATTTTATACTTAAGAATATAAATATATATACAATGTACACACTAAATCACTGGATTAAAAGCTTCACCACCTATCTGTGTAATTGTACATCTTAACTTTATTCTATTGTTTGAGATTTATCTTTTGTCTTCATTGCAGGAGCCAAACATGACAGTATTGTACCCAATGTCACCAAGGGGGAAACCATATGATTATATGATTTGATGGCAAAGAACAAAAAGACCACTGATTAAAGGAAGCAATTTTATAAAGCTCCATTCTCCTAAGCTTAAACCGAAAGAGTTCATTATAACCACAGGGTTTATTCAGTTTTGTATGGCCTCTGTAATATGCTACAGTGCTTATTAATAGAAAATGCAATGTTTAATACATGGCAGTGTTTTGCTTCAGCAGAACACTGTAAAACTACTTGCAAGAACAATTTACTGCATAACTAAATTCAACATAAGAAAGAATAGTGTAATATTTAGTGATTTCTCAGATTCTCAGCGAGATTATAATCTTCTTAGAAAGGCAGTATTTAAATGATAGTTTATTTAACTATCTTAACACCTTCTCCTGACAGTGTTTGTGTCCCAAAGCAGTTAAGTATCCAAGACAGGAATTATTAAAAATTATTACAGCTCTAGTGTTTGTATTTCCAGTGGTATCTCAGCAAAGGAACATGTACAGTCTGTTCACTGCCTGACACAAGGAGTCATTCACCATTATTACTGTCCAAACTCTTGGGATGTTTTTTTGGTATTTGAAGGTCTATCACAAGAAATTAGGGAGCTTACTGGAATTGCCACATATTTCAGATGGTCTCATCCATGATTACCACTCCTCAAACAAAGAACTCTAATGTCCATTTCTCAGTACCTAATTGCCCTGCCTCTCCCTCCTATAGAAAACTTCTTAATTTGTTATAACACTGGAAGAATTATAACTGATAGGAGTGCTATCAAGTTTGTATTAACCAAATTAAAGCACCAGTAGCTAAAGACAATAAACTGTTCATTTTTGTTCCTCTTTTAGCAGATGGCAAGTATGTCACCAAACAGCAGCAAGGAGGATGTATGTATAGGGAGGACAGATAATATGTGGTAACTTTATCCCAAACAACACAAAATCCATCACCAAGCTACCTATATGTACTGATGCCTCTTCTGTCCTAAAGACACAACTGTCCTTTATCTTCTAGTCCTCAGCTTCATTTTATAACCGTACATTCACCTTCACTGTCATCTAATTCAGATTTGTCACTGACACTTAGATCAGAATGTCAGGGCCTACGTGCATGTGAACCACTGTAGGTTCACAACATGATCTGGATTAGTAATTGTAATATTATGAGTAGGATGTGAATAGGAAGACAACACAAGAGGCAGATGTCAACAGAGGTAAAGTCAGATTCCTGGGGCTAATTCCACCAGCAAGAGCTATGTTTTAACCTGTGATTAAAACCTTAGCATGAACAAGGCAAAATAATGCCTAGACACAACCTAAACTGTTCCAAAAGGGTTAGTCATCACAATAAGCTCATGATTAGACTCTACCTAAAGATTATACAAAATGAATTGCCAAAACCTGCAAGTTTGAGGCTGCAAGTCCCCCCCTCATGACTCCCGTTACTATCTCAGTTAGTCTGATAGTCATGTCATCTAGACAAATTCTATAGAAACTCGTACTGTTTTGGATTATTCTTCCAGTCTGAAGAGCCAAATTTCTTATTAGGCATGATCCTGGACAACTGCTGAAACTCTTTCTAAAGCAAACTTTATTAGCCTTAATCATGATAAGTTTCATCAGTCCTGGAATAAATGACATTTTACTTTATTACATGCTGTAAGTTTATCACATTTGGACACATCAAGCCTTTTTTACTCAGACAAATGGCTTACTCACAGGAGCTTTCATTTAAAAGTGGACTAAATTAGAAATATGGATGTATGGGTGTTCTACAAGATTTAAGAAGTAATGGCATTTTTAGCTTCTCCATATTTCATACTTGATCTCATAGCTAGTGTTTTTCAGCTCTAGAAACATTTAACACCTCAAAATCACTCAGAAAATTCTGAACTCTTGACATTCACCTAAAATCAGACTGAAAATTACTTTCTTTCAACATATGATATGCTCTTAGTTGGGCGATGTTACTAATCTTCAGTGTGAAAAGCACAGCCACTGAAGACTTGATGCTTAACAATATGCAGTAGCCTAAGGGATTGGAATTTTTTCATGGGAGCCAGGAACAGAATTTAAGCTTCTTTGTCTCTATCCAGATCCCTTTGCTCTGAAGAAGGTCTTGGAATTGCAAATCATAAAACTGGTGAGAAGAGCATTGGCACATCTATTTGATACAAAAAATGCTGCCCAGGTGAAATCTGTAACAGAGCAAATTCTGTATGCTCAGAGCAGGTGGCAACAGCTGCTCCACAGAAATATGCAAGTTTCCTCACAGAAAATGGTTTCTGATGTCTAGATCTCTTTTTGACAGTATTTGCTACATTTTGTGCTTTTAGTATTTAATAATTGGTTTAAGTCTGGAAACATTGGTTTTAGTATGTTTCCACTCAGTAAAACATAACTCTGGTCATTCTTGCCATGTATGTAAATTTGTCTCTGGATATCCATGTGACATATCTGGAGCATCTTTTCTCCAGCCGAGCCCTAAAGCATCTTATGCTCTCTATTCTTAGACTTTATTGATGCCTAGACATCTCCAGAGAGTATCTGAGCATGGATTGTCTTTGTCCAGTGACAGCAGAAATGTGCATTTATGTAAAGTGGTGCAGGATTTGTAATGTCACACAGGGTGGAAGGTTTTGCCTAACAGCCAACTTCATAGTGTCGACTTTATTTATTTTGCAAGGACTCAAAAACCCTGGCAAGTGCTGAGTCTGTGGTTCCATGGAAACCAGGTATGCCAATTGAATGCTTACATTGTTAACAATATCCTCCAGAAAATCTCTTAAAAAATGATCATTAATATTAGGATGCCTTCTTTTCATTTATCCATTCACTTTAGTTTCTTCTTTCTAGGACCACATGCTACCTACATCAGAAGAAAACTGGGCTGCACATACTGGTTCTGGTAATACTTAAAGCAAGCTATGAAATATAAAAATCAGTTAAAATGATGGTGCTTACCCCGTTCTGTGTCATAGAGGTACACAAACTTTTCCCACTTATAATAAGTCAAGAGACTCAAGATGGCTCCTTTTAACGCTGGCCTCATCTGGATGACAAACTGCACATCTGCATCTGTTGGGAAGCTGGGTGTGATGAAGGATGTGTGAAGGGCTCCACAAAATGACGTCAGTGTGTTCATTGACATCTGGTCATAGAATCCAAAGATGGCATAAACTCCTCTGGAAAACTGTGAACAGACTAAGAAAGACAGACAAGGGTGTGAAAATCTGAAAAACACTGAATGCAATCAGACTTTCAAAGTATATTTGAGGTAAGCCTTCTAACCATTCCTGATATTATTCTCTATGATGCAGCAGATGGAATGAATTAACGAGATAATATATAATAATTTCAGTGTAGCAGTAAATTGTACTGACTTTATAACAATTAAACTGGCCTGAACACATTTTTGGTTGTGACTTCTGCTATATTGTAATATTCCATCTCTCCATATTCTCTAAAAAGAAACACGGGATTACATTGCCTATCTGTAAAATACCTTCCCTTGACAGCACCTGGAGATCTCTGTTAGCAGCTATGTAACAAATGTCAGGTCTGCCTAAAAGTCAAAACATTAAGGTGTAGTTTTCCAGATTGAGATTTCCTTGATTCAGATCAAAGACGTCTGGATGTTTTATTCCCTTACAGTCCATAACTCTGAAATTTCTGTGTGGTCTTTTTCAATGAGAAATTATGGTGACTTCTTACTCAAGTGTTAAAACCTTTCAGAAGAATTTGGAAAGTCTGTGGCTTATTACATGACCTCACAAATAAGCAACACATCTTGTTGCTTCATGGGACAAGAGTTGGTATCCCTTAACTGGGAGGCTTTTAGTAATTAACCATTGTGCTGTCCTGAGGAACCCATCTTGTACCAGAAAATAATCCAAATGCAGACAAAAGCGTCTTTTTTTCACACACTTCCTTATTTCCCATCCTTTACAGAGATTGAACAATGACCATTTTGGACAAAAATGAAAGTATTTCAATTTATAAACATGGCCGACTTCATTGGAGTTGCAGGAAAAAAGATCTTTGTTGTTCAGCTCTGTAGGAAAAGTGCAAACTTCTTGTGACCCTGCATTCTTTCCATGAAGGGATTCTGCATCAGACATAGTGAGGAAGCCTGATCTGTGAGGGGCTGGGACTCTCACTCATAGCAAAGACTGTACAACTGCAATACACTGTGACACAGCAGCACTTCTAATCAAACCATTTCTGGACCGAGAAGAGCAAGTCCTATTTGTAATGAAAATAAGTCTCCCAGAAAAATGTTCACTCAATTGTAACAATTTTGCTTGTCAAGAACTGGATTTAACAACAATTTCCAACTAACCCCATTAAACACTTTTGCCAAAATGCTGCACATTTAACTTTGCAAAAAGCAAGGGCAAGTAATTACCAGTAAGGAAGACCTGACTTCTACACACACATATACAGCATCGTTACTTCTGAGAGTACCATCATGAAACACTTCCCACCACAAAGGCTACCACTTAGAATCACTAAAGACTGCTAAAGTAATCTTAAACAGGATTCTCCACAATATCAGCTCATTGACACAGCATCATGGATAACACCTCAAATCGGCAGTCAGGTGTGAAAATTTGATTTTCTTCCTGGAGGTCCAGATGTAAAAATAAAAATGCTATTAAGGAATTTCTTTAAGTGTTTAAGATACTGTAAGAGGACATGACCAGCTCTGGATACCAGCAGCAAATTACAGCTGGTGCAGACATAAAAGAGATGTGCATGAGACACAGAAAGGAAATCAGAAGTGGTGATTTCTGAAATAAAAGTTTGCAGAAGTTCTTCACCACAGTAAAAAAAAGATATAAAAGAAGTTATAATACAGTAAGAATTTATTCCCAGAGGGATGACTGAGGAATTAAATACACTGTTTAAAAAGGCATTTTGTTAAACTATATACCAGAAGGATATAAAGTTGAAAAGCTTCCATAAAAAATATCTGCTGAAGTAACAAATAAAAAGCATTAACTCACAGGTGGAAAAAGGAAACAATAAAGATTACATTAGAAAGTCTGGCAGTCTCCAAATCATTTCAGTGGTCTGTAAACCCTCTAATTCCACATGAATAATCAATAGAGTGGGACTAGTGGAGCTCAGTGTCCTCACATACACTGAGCCTGTACCTCACAGATCAGGCTTCTTTTACATATTTATTAATGGCCTAGTTTACTAGTTTTTATGTAGATTCTGTACTGCAGAAAAAAGCAAGTATTCCAGGAAACATCTCTTCTTGCAATGCAAACAAAACATATTCTCAAAGGTCTCCCGATCCTAAAAACCCAGAGTATTTCAAACAATCCCGGGTTCACCCATTATTTCTTATCAGGTATGAGGTATAAGACTCAGGAATACTTTTGAGCTGTGACTCAACTGAAATCGCTCAGCTTTGTAGGGACACTGCATCTGAAAAAAGTCACAAGGGAGCCCAAAAAGCCCAGCATGTTATCCAAGCTTAGGATTTTAATGGAGAATACAGATCAGTTCTTGTTAGGACCGCTGGTTCCTACATCCCACAAAGTCAGTAGAGAAGAGGTGCAGCACTAAAGGGAACTGACAGTGGCTGGCTCCAGTGGGGACAGTTCCTCTCCCCTGTTCCTCTGCCCTGTGCTGGGAACCAGTTGGAAAGTGGTCAGCTTTGTGCTCTTTCTTGTTCTTAGATGAGCACCAAGGCACTGCGGCCTTGAGTTTGAAAATGGTTCAAGGTCTTCGTCCTTCGGACATAATTCTGTCTTTCGTGGCTATTTTAAAACACTGAATTAAAATGCATTTTCATAGCAGATTGTGCTCACTTATGCAAAGAGCCCACTCTTAATTTGTGAGTAATCTGAGGAAAAAACCAAACAGAGTCTGTGGACAACCTGACCATAAGCAGGACCTTCTCCATGTAACACCTTACAGCCACCATGGAGCTGCTGCTTGCATGGAGGCTGATTTGGCCTTTCAGGTATTTGCAACTGTTTTTCCTGAAAATTCTGGATGATCACCAACAATATCTTCTAACAAATGCAAGGCCCTGTCCAGTTGTATTTCCCCTGATTCAGGTTTGTATTCACTGCAGATTTTAAAGATTTAACCCTTTAACAGACTCTCTGTCTTCTGTTAGTAGCATATTCTTCGTGACTATCCTGCATGCACCGTAGCGTGACAATTTTACTTTACTGACCTGTTTAAAAGGCAAATAAACTTTTGTTTTTATAAGGAAAAGCTAAAAGGCCAATTTTCTTGGTCCTCTGTGTTTATTTGCATTTTTGAACTCACAGTCTTGTTATATCTTTTGTATAGTTTGTGACCTAATCTCCTATATTATCAAAAGAACTAACTGAATATCCATGAACTCACAGCCATATTGCTTTCTGTTTTCCAAAAAAACAAACATGTAATTACATTAATTTTAATTACATTATTATTCTAACATCACTGGGCCAGAAGGAAAACTTTAAAAATGGTAACTAAACCTCAGCTTTAAGCTCTTTTTACAAAGTACCTTCTATTGACAATCACAACTATCCTCATGGTTGAGTAAGAATTTTGGTATTTTTCCTTAATTAATCACAGTTGATTTATGTTTATTTTTCCCTATTTGAAAAATGCAGATGGTAAAACACATACTTTGGCTGTTAAAGAAATGATTTGGACACATCCTGATGCAAACTCATTCCTCAAGAAAAAAAAAAAAAAATTTTTTTTGCTGAGCTATGCCTGTATGAAACTGCTCTTAATTAATTATGGTGATGCACATCTCTTTCCAAAGCAAGCACATATGCAAGTTGCTTCATAACTTGATCTGAATAAGTTTCAACCTCCACAAACAAGGGAGAGAGGCCCTGAGCAGCAGTTCAACAGGAGATCATGATAAGCCATTATTTTGGCATTAGGTGTAAGGTGAGTATTTATTAATGCTGACTTAACACTGGGCTTGTTCTCATAGTACGTGAGCTGCCACACGCCATCGTGTTCAGGAGAGGAAGGGATGATATGATAGAAGCCTGTGAATTCTCAAGCATGTCAAGAGAAGATAAGAAACTTTCGGGTCATGACAGACTGGTGTTTCCTGCCAAGGAAGGAAAACGCTCAGAGCCAGAGTGATCACAGTGGTAAGCAGAATTTACTTTCAAATAAAAAACCAAACCAAACCCAAGCAAACAATATCCCACTTAAGCCACATAAATAAATCTCGGTTTCTGTATTGAAAGCAGCTGAGCCATCCTAAGTGTCAGTGTAACCCAATGAACCCAGACTTCTGTTTTACTTGCAGTTCCATCCTCCCTCCAGACAAGTCAGGCCCACCACTGAAACATGCTAAGATTAACAGGTAAGATTCTTTTCACTCAGCCCCCTGGAAGGCCATGGGCCAGAACCTCAAAAGACGCCCCATTTCACACAAGTTCTTCTTAGATGTTTTGTGTCTTTTTAAAATTTATTTTTGCTATCTAATGGTGTTTAGTTTTTCTATCTTCTAGTGACTGTGAGTATTCCTGACACTGCAAGGTTGTACAGGCTCTGACATCTCTACTGTCTATTGCCTGGAAGCTAAAGTCAAAACTTCTCTGACACCTTTTTTTTTTTTTTTTTTTTTACTTCCAGTCTTACTACAAACAACTGAAGCGTTACTAGGAACATTTACAAGCAGTTTTGGATTTTGCTTGTTTAGAAAGACACATAAAGCCAACAAAAGGGATATGTTATTGGTGGATCTTAATACACCATTTCCACTGGATGATATCATTAGTGACTGAACTGTAAAAGTCAGCAGGACCCTCCACTTCCACACGGGATCTAAGAGCTCAGCAGTTTTGGAGTCAGGGGTTGGAGGTTACAATACTATTCCTTCTTCATTATTCTTTTTATGGACCAGTAATTTCCCCTTTGTCCATATCAATTTCTTATAAAGTAGATCTGACAAAATCAACCTGTGTCAAAGGGACACTGCTCCAGTGATACACCTACAGCTCTCTGGGAGGAAAGGCACTGCTGGAGCTCCATCACCACGGACATTACTGCGTGCTGCTCATACCAGTTCCTCAGGTTTGTGCTCTGTGTTTCCCTCAGCTGTGAAATAATTTTATTCCCTCCACTTTCTTCTGCCAATTGTCTTGGACTCCACACAATTCTCACTGCCAGCTTCTGCCAACAGACTAATGGGACTACTTTACAATGGAATAACGTGC